GTGGCTGCAGAGTGGGAACAAGCTAAGCCAAGGCACTTCTGAGGTCTTGCATTGGGGAACCAGTGTAAGTACCTGAGTAGCAGGATAAATCAAAATTCCATTCCTGGGGAGAGTAGAGTCAGGTTTGATGATACAGTAATCCAGGATGAGGTGATGGAGGCCTGAACTGCAGCTAAATAGAAACAGTTAGAATAGGGAAGAGTGAGTGAACTTGAGTTCAGTTACCAGCGTTGTGCACTGGTGAAATACATGAGTACTAAACCAGCCTCTACTGAGCATGGTTTTGTCATTCTTTGACTAATAGTATCTATAAATCATCTGTCTGAATATCAGTTTTTACTGTAGGGTGTTATAAATGTTGACTGTAGAAATTTGAATTAAATGTGCCTTCACTCTGGAATGTAAACTAAAATTTGTTGGAAGAAATTCTTACTATCAGCTTCCTAAACTCTCCTTTGACTCTCTTGCTTTAAAAAATGAAGTATACTGTGCAAGAGGAGAAGCAGTAAGTCCTTGAATTAGGGTAACTCAAAATCACACCCACATAAGCAAGTTATAAAGTAATGAGGTTGATTTCCATGAGCTGCTAGTAGACTTGGTATCTTCCAGCAGGTTCATGAATGGTGATGTTAAAATTCATGGGAGATCATAGGGATTTTTGGTGTCAGTTTTCTCATTTAACAAGTTAAGAGATCAAGATTGGGACAATTAATGAATAGGTACTAATAGTAAAACACTGAGGTGGTCAAGTTCCTCTTGTGCATTTTATGGGAAACTTTTGAAATGATAGAGGAAAGGATTCCTAGGAAGTTTCAAATTGGAGATAATAAAAAGGAAAAGGCTTGAAGAAAGTATTTCCATCTTTTAAATAGTCGTCTAGTTTTCATACTACTGTAATGTTTATGAATAATTGGAAATTACCAAATTTTGAAATAATTGAAACATCACAGTGAATAGTTGGAAAACTGGTAAAGTCCACTGGTTCTGAAGCTCAGTGTATTTTAAATTTGTGTGAATAATATTACTTTCATATATGCAAAAGGCTCTTCTGTTTTGAAGCATGGCTATATGTTTAGAGAAAGGACACTAGTCTTTCAACCTAACACCTGTTGCTGCCAAACAGATTGGTAACTTCTGAAAGGGGTAGTACATCAAAATACGTTATTAGTGTTCCAAGTGTCGGTGAAGGCAGCATTCTTTTACCATATGGTTTATGGGAAGTGAATTAATTTAGGATTAATTTACTGGAGAAATGAAAATCATGGTGCTGAGAAGGGTTTAAGTCAATATTGGGCCCTTATTTGTAAGATAACACATTGAAAAAGAGAGAAGATTTAATTAATGAGTAAACATGGACCAGTGTTTACCATTGCGTTGGATCGTCTGTTTCACTTTATCAAACTTTCCCCCATTTTATTACATAATCACCTTCATGCTTACTATCAATTGAGGCCTATGGTTTTAATTGTAAAATAAAAGCTGTTTTAATAAAATGGAAATTGAAAACAGGCGTCAGAACACAACTGCTCAGTGCCACTTTACCATTATTTTCTCGCATTATTGAGCAAGTTTGGCTTTTTGCTTCTTTGACTGCCGTATTACATTTTGCCTTGAAGCCATCCATTTTGCAGATATTGAATTTTTTTTGAGTACTATTTTTATAGAATAAGCATCACTACACCTCTGGATCTTGATAGCATTACTACGGGAGGAGAACGAAGCTTTGTGTTAGTAATTACCTAACATTGTCAGAAGCTGACTGCAGGCCTCTTTCTAGTGATAACAGAATAACCACATAATGTAGCTTTATAGCGCATGATTAATAGAAAATAATTACACGTCCTACAAAGGGATGCAATATTTCTTATAAATTGACTAGAATGGTTTCCTGTAGATTAAAGGACTCTTCATTATTTTATCAGTCCTCCTGAAGTACAGTCACTTGCCTATGTTAGCATTTCAGTTGATGTTAAGAGCCGAGTTGGGTGAAGGATACCAGATGGCAGACCTTCTTGTACCTGAGCTCTTGTGTGACAGAAAGATGACATGCCATTTCCTAACCTTCAAAGATTTAGATGGCATGGTATGGCTTTGTCTCTCTATTTTGTGTTTATGAACAAGATATGGTTTGAGGGCTGTTTGTCTTTGAACGACCCACCTGTGACTTTCAGAACAATACTATAATTAGTGTGTGGACCGCAAGACAGCGTTGTTTGAATTGCATTATTTTCCACTGTAAGTAATGTATCATTCCAAATCACATTTGTTTGCGGGCAGCAAGGAGCGAAGGCAGAAAAAGGCAGATTTTCTTCTTCAGAAGAAACACCCTGTATGATATGGAGTCTTCAGGCTGAAGTTTAGAATACTGCACTTCAAGAAGCGTCTTCATTTCAATTTATAGGCTGCAAATGGTTTAATTGGGATTCATGTTGCTCAGGAGGCTCATACAGAGGATGGTAATGATAAAAGTAAAAGCTTCTGTGTTTGCAGTCTTGTCGACACACTCTAATGGTTGCAGTGTAAATCCATAAATTTGCCTACTAGATTTTTGCCTCACCGTATTTTATCATACCTCTTAATTCCACACAGGAGTATCATATTGAATCCGTTACAAATGTAAAGTAATAAGCATTCTGGTTTTTATTTTTACCCTTCCTTTGATTTAAACCTGTGATATTTTAGAGTACTCTTATGATGTGTGCATTTCATATGTTTTCGCTTATTTTAAACTAGTTAAAGGAGCATTTAAGAGTATGTTAGTCTGAAGCTTAAATTTGTCCTAGAACGTTACTTTTGAGGGATATGTTTCCAGCAGAGTAACTCTTCCCTCCCTCTGCCACTCTACTTTCTGTTTAGTGCATCTTAACCAGTTACCATCATGGAGAATTCTCTCAAGTGTGAAGTGTAGCATCAGTCCTTTATTGAAGTGATTTGTTGACATCAGTTTCTGAAATTTGAATATGAGTGAGCTTTTTGAGAACAATAATCAGCCCTTAATTAAAGGTACAGGTTATACCTGAAGTAGAATATTATAATGTAATAGGAACTTTTGGAATTTGAATCTAAGATTGAAAATAGCATGGGGACTGTCCCCTGAAAAGCAGGTTCACCCTGATAATGTCTTTTTAGAAGTCTAACAGTATAGGCCTTCAGCTTCTGAAAGGTTAAATACATTTGTTTGGTTTAAGCATTAGGCTCTAATTGTATTCATTGCCTTAAAAATTGAAAAGGGCAGTTTTATTAGGTACCTATTAGGATATAATGGTTGCTAATCATAGCTTTCAGTAAGTTGGTATTTTCTCCTGCTAAATATATCCTACATAGGTCATAGACATTGCCACCGAGTTCTGGGCATCAGACTATTTTCATTGTTGATGTAGTTTTTTCCACTCAGTTCACACTGTCACTGAACTTTTAAACTTAAAATCTGGAGTCTACTGTCCCTTAACCCAGAGCTGTGCTGTCATTAAAATATGCAGTGCAATGATGAGCCTTTTCTCCTTTTCCTTATGCCTTCTTCTTCCAGTAAACCTAATTCTGATACGTCCCACTGTTAAAAAGAGCACTTATAAACCTTAATCTTATAATCTCTCAACTGATAGCCTACATATCAATACACATATGCTAATAGTGCTACATTTTTGCTGAAGAATCGTATGAATTTCCTTTCTGGTGGTCAATAGCATAGTAATCAATACAAATGTTAAAAGTCTGTACTAGTATTAACATTCCCTCCCCACATGTAACTCAATATGCATATGCACATTTATCTATGACTCAGATGTTGGAAAATCATAGCCTATTGAATTACTTTGGGGACTGATTTTAAAAATTTATCTTATATGAAAAATTAAATTTGGAACCTACAATGCTTTTGCAGAGTATTGCTTTTGGAAGATATTTTTCTTGAAACTTGTAATTCATTTTACTTTGTTTGTATCTCACTAAACATAAATAAATTTGAGATAAAAATACATTAGTCAATCTGGCAGACATATGAGATCGGTTACAGAGAGTTCAGATGCCTAAAGCAGTAGCATATCTATCAGTGGAGGCAAAGGGGAGAAAAGGAGGTTCAGGTTTATCTCACATGGAGAAGTAATGCAGAAGTGACTCATCAATCACTTTTTTTTTTTACAGCTAGATTAATATTTTGCCTTTATAACTTGAGATACTTTTATTTCCTATTGATCTTCCACTGCTAGGGTGACTCTAACAGCACCTTTAAGTTCCTTCTACCCATCCTTTATGTAATGTATTTATGATCAATAAAAGGAATAATAAAATGTCTTAAGAGAAATTTTTTAAAAAGCTCTTTTGTAAATTATTTTGTAAAGCAAATTTTTGTATATTAATGTTTCCTTAGTCCCTGATTTATGTTTTCAATGTCCATACTCAGATAGTAGATTTTCTTAAAAGGGGGCATACAGCTGCATTCTGAATCATTCTGTCATAAGAGTTTAATTAGCAATTAAATAGTTCATTGTGAAAAAAATGCTGTCCTTGCTGGATGATAAGCTCCCTGAAGGCAAAGAGAGTCTCCCAAGGATCCTACTTGTACCCTTGTAGTGTCTAGAACAAGTGCCTGCATAGAAAAGGTGTCTCCCAGGGTGTCGTGTGCGTGTGTGTGTCTGTCTGTCTGTCTGTCTGTCCGTGTCTGTGTGTGTGTGAGAGCTGGAGAGAGAGAGAGGGAGACTGAGAGGCGAAAGTAGTGCAGGGAGGCTTCTTCCTTATGTAGTTTCATTTACTGGGTTCTTCTGAGTGACTTGTTTCTTCCTTCTACAACCGAGTAAATAAACAGGCTTTGTCTTATACTTTAATTTAAATCTGCTCACAGCATTTTTAAAGTGTCCGGAAACAAAAAAAAAGATTATGTTTCAATTTGCAGCTCCAGCTCTTGTAACTTTATAAAAAGAAATAACATTTCTAAGAAGTTGCATATAAATGACATTGTACTTACACCAGTCTAAAGGTTAATATCGCATATTGTTTTCAATTAGGAATACAATAGATATGGCTGGTGGGTAGGAGAAATGAAGGGAGCCATTGGCTTGGTGCCGAAAGCCTACATAATGGAGATGTATGATATTTGAGAGTCCTGGGTAAGTACATTTTAATCCAATAGTCTGTAATAGCGCATATGTTCTCTTGGTCTTCGCATTATGAGTCTTTGCCTTTTTAAAAGTCTTTGTAGTTTTCTGATAAGAAAAAGATTATGCTCTCAAATCATCTTCTAAAAAAACTCTGGTTTCATTTTAAAAATAACTTCATAGAATTTACTTTGGAAATAGATTATTTAGAGAAAGTCCCTTTGATAATAACCAGCTGTTTTCCCAAACCTCCTCCTCGTTAGTAAAATACTACTTTTATGGCCTTTCTAAGGATCTGAGTTAACAGAATGTTGAGTAAACATTCATTTTTCTTGGCTAAGAATATGATATTTTTTCTAAGCAGGAAAAAATCAACATTTCAACTGAAGAAAAAATTAAAATGCAACTTTTCCTTTCTGCCTGCATAAAAGGAGGATTCTTCTGCTAGGCTGCAGACGCTTTGGATTTAAAATCATCATGAACGCACTAGCAACAGCTCATCGCCTTTGTTTTGTTGAATATTGTTCATCTTTCACTGTTATCGTACGCTTTCATTATAATACTCCTCTGATGTGAAATTCAATGAAAGATATTAATGTAAATTAGATGCAAGCAGCAAAGTTAAACCTGTTGCTATTTTGAGAAGTAATAATTGTATTTTTTATTTACTCATTTGGTTTGTGTGAGGAAGTCAGCGCTATTTTATAAGTACCTCAGAGTCACAGCTACCTCCAGTATGAGTTGTAATTTCTTTTAATATTGGACATTAATTATTTTTAAGATGTAATAGATAATTTCATAGAAATTTAATTGAAAATATCATACAAGTTTTTGGTAGATGCTACCTAAAGGACAGAGCTTTATTAAAACTTTGTAGATGACTTATCTTACTATTTATTTTTCATATAATAATAATAATATGTCTTCATGGAGGAATTTTTTCTGATTAACAATTTGTTTTGTGTTATTCAGAACCACAAGAAAGAAAAAACTAAATAAATCTTCTTTCTTTCCCGTGGCTCTGCGTGACAGAACAGTGTGCTTGCTGCAGCACGTGTGCGAGCCAGACAGAGTTTGTGCAAAAGCCCTCATCAACAACATATCTGATGACGGGCTTGCCAACATTTTCTACTGTAGTTTTGTTTAAATTTAATAAAATTAAAAACTCATAAGAAATTCCATCTGCCACGAATATAATGGCATTAAAAAAATCTCAATATGTTCTCAGACTAAGCCAGCACTCTCTGGTCCTTCCTGGCCTTTGCTTTGCTTTGATGGTCCCACCCCAGAAGAGGAAAACTCCAGATCTGAATCCCTACACTTCTTAGAGCAGTGAAAAGACAGGGACGGCAGCTCAGAGAGGAGAGTATAGAAATCCCAGTGGGACATGGACAAGAGTTGAGAGGGAGGGTAGATTAATCTGACATTGGAGATGTATGCTGTGCTGCCTGAGCAAGATTTGCAGAATTTTAGCATTATCTTTTCAGGTATATTTGAAGTGAAAGGTATTTTAAATGCCTGTGAGGTACCAATGTGGCCTTAATATATATCAAAGTGCCCTGCTGATTGGATAATTATTCGGAGTGGATATAATCTCTTAATATTGAATCATTGACTAGGAGGATCTACCTTTGTTGAATTTTCTGATCTCTTCTTTATAAAGATAAAGATTCTTACTGTGCAGATAAGCTATCGTATTACTTATATAAAACTTTTACAAGTGGTATTTTGGAGTGTGTATTTTCCCATTACCCCCCAGTCCTATGGCCATCTGATTTCAGGTGTGAAAGAATATTAACTTTAGTGATTGTGGGTAAACTTCAGTGTAGATAAATTAAACATTGTCAAGGTAAAGGTACCAGAAAATAATTTGTGTGCTCGTTAGCCTCTTCCTAATGTAGAGCCATTGCAGTAGTTTTGACATCATCTTGACAAAAAATGAGACAACCAGAGAAGAATTTAGCAGACTGGTTTTCAAAGCCTGAGAGGTTGGAAAGCAAAAAGAGTTGTGATTTCCTCTGAAAAATATAGACTTGCTAGTGGATGCAGGTTTCCTGATTCTGACTTAAGTGAAGATTCTAGTCCTGGGCCAGTAGATGGCAGCAGCTTTTCATTACATATCCTACCACGTAAGCCCCCATCCCCCACTCAGATACAAACTCCCAGGGAATGTAAAACATTCAGAAGATTTCTGCCTCCTTTTACAGTTAATCCAGGAGAGGGAGTCCTTTGCCAACTGATGACCAACACTTCCAAGCCAGATAGTCTCTCTGTGACTGGTGACAATACAGAAATAAAGTGTTACTTTTGTCCAGAGCTCTTCTGGTCTTTGTTCTTTTTTAACTTGAATGTAAGTGGGATTTATGAAAGGAAAGATATAAAAATTGGAGTGACAGGGAAAAAATAATTTCTTTCAATTTGTAACAACTTTGCATATTTCATTCATTTGGAAAAATCATTTTGCATACTTCCAGGGAGAAACTTTTCTTTACACCCTTGACAATATCTCACACACTCTTCAAGTTCATAATAATATCATTAATGTGAATTTAAACAACATGCCTTGTTAGAAAATATGCTAATTGTTATATTCTCATTATGTTTGCTTAGCTTTTATTTGTTTTTCTATGAACAGTTAGAGAGCTAATTTTTTTCAAAGGTGATTGTAAGTCATATTTTATATAGCGTTTTGCTTGATTATTTGCTCTGTACTGAATTTGTACTCTATTGCCATTAGATCTTACAATAATGTTCCACTCTGCAAATTTTTAAGGTTCAAATAAAGTTTAATTGTTTGCAAACTGTTATGATGCTAATAATTCAACAGCCTGCTGTGTTACTAATGAAATTACTTTGTTATGATTAATTTGGAAAATAGTGTGTTGATTGTAGTAATTAAGCACAACAAGGTGAAGTAAATGATTCTAATGCCATCTGGCCTCCAAACTGAATGAAGAAATGAAATAGGGCTGTCATCAGAATTTATTCAAAGAAGTAAGGATAATACAAATGACTTTCATTGCTATAGGGTTTACACTTCACCACTGCTCACTCCATTCTGCTTTTGCCACTTTGTTACACATCACACTTTCTTTGTGTCACATTAAAGAATGCTATGTAAGCTAGCACTCATTTTGAATACTTTATATTATTTTAAGTTCATTATTTTACCTTGTGTTAATTTAATTACAGATAATCATATAAAGTACTGTAGGATCACTTTTCCTAATTACATTAAAGTACTATAGCAAATCACTTTTCAACCATCTGTAGGTAAAATCTATGTATGTGGGGTTTGTTTTTGTTTTTTGGGTTTTTTTTTTTTTTTTTGGCTTTTTTTGCTCTTAGTACAGCATGTTGAATGCAGCCTTTTATTACAAGAGAGATTCCGTTCAATTGTTTCTAAAATGTTTCCAGTCTAGATTTTCTCATAGTTCTTATGATTTCTACTTTCTCTGTATATCCAGTCTAATCTACTGCTATTCACTTAATAGTCTAGTACGAGCGAGGATCATGAGTGAAAACAGAACCCAAAACCGAGTTACATATTAGAGGTTCAGATTCATAGTTAAGCCACTGTAAGAAAACTTATCCTTATCATTCAGTGTAAGTGTAGTTTAAAAGCTTGAACTGTATCAATCAGAGTGAATGAAACACTGAAGATTTTAAATCAAGTCAAATGCTTTTAAATTTCATAGAAATCAGTTGTTTGAATTTCAGTTGTTGAATTGAATTATAGACACACACACTGTGTAATGCTCACTTTTACTTCTCAAGTTCAATAGCTTCGAGAATATTGAAAAGGTAGAGATTGAAACATGGCCAAGGTAGAAAATATAGCCTCATTTAGAAGTTGAAGGAATATAATTAATGTACAGAGAAAAAAAATGTTAAGATGCCGTAGTTTGCCAGTAAATTCCTGAGCATTCTGAAATACAGAGAAATAAATAAGTAAAAAGCTTTTATAAGCTTAACTTACATTCAAATGCGTAGCTTTAAACAGTTGATCCTCTAGCTTGGGAACAAGAAATTTCTGAAGAGCCTCAGCTTCTGCCAACACTACACCCTCTGCCTTGTAGTTGAGTACTTCTAGAACATCTACTGGAACCCCTGGTAGAGTAATATTTTGCTGTGATGAGATAAATACAAAATTATATGATCACAGCAACATAGGATGACATTTCATTAGTGCTGTGTCGGAGAAACTTTTTGTTTTCCCAAGTAGAATCTCCTCTGTCATTGCTTGGACACAAAAAATATGATTTATTGCCAGATTGATTCTTCAGAGTATGTGATGTATATCCAGTAAAGATTTGTTGATGAACTGTTTGGCACTCCATAGTAGCTCAAGCCCTGAGATTTAGGAAAAGCTTGACTTTTTTATCCCTCGTAGTGAAAAAATACCTTTATTGTTTAGTAAATTATCTTTCTGACCAAGAACATTCTCTTGATCAAAGAATCGTCCCTTTTACTGAGTCTTTAAAAGCTATTTCATTGTCCCCACAATACCATCAACAAGGTGATTGGATTGGATTGTTGGTAACAGAATTGACCGAGAGTGTGAATAACAAGAAAGTTGAGCATGGCAGCTAGTCTTTAGATGTTTCTTCCCTTCCTGTCCAGTGTTCAGTGTTGTCATTCTTCCAGAAAAGGAGCAGTTGACCCAGGCAGCCCAGGGTAAGTGATTGAGTTTCACTCTGCGTACACCTCACATGACTGTGTCCCGAATCCCATCTGGGCAGTACACAAGAAATCTGAGTTTGGACACAGTCTAGCTATTACCTTGGGTGGCTCAAACAGCAACTGGGAAAGTGGGGAGTTTCCAGGTTGATGTGAAATTTTACCATAATTCAATCTTGTTACTATTTTTTAATCTTTACTGTTCCTTTAAAATTGGATAATAAGGTTAACCTGAGTGTTTTGAGTCCTAAAGATAAAAGTGGCCATCAATACAGAAGTAAACTTTGTCACCCCAATGGTCAGCTTAGGTCTGAAATATTGGGAGAGGGCCTGGAAGCTGAACAAATGAGAAAACTCATGAAGATATGCAAAGGTATGAAAATAGAAAATTGCCCCAAAAGCCCATCTCTTAAGTGCTTTTCTTAATGTTGGAATCTTACAGAGTATTTCCCTGGTTTTGGTCTTGCCTATTATCACTGTATTGTTGTTGCTGTTGTTGTTATTATTATTATTACTATTATCCATTACTCCTAGAGGTGATATAAAACAGCACTTGTCTGTTTTCTGTTTATTGTCCTCAACTTTGTAATATAAAAAGATCATTCCTGCTAGAGTAAAAGCAGGTGCCATTCTACAGCCTGAGCAGCAATTTACCTCGTGTTTGAAGAAAGTGTCACCCAGGTACTCTCAAAGGAGAAAATTAATGACACCAACGTATGCCAATTAAAAGTGACTGCTTTAGAGGAGGAGAAAATGCCAACAAATAAATGGATTCCCATATACTCTGTCCCCTCCAACTCCCATGAGAGTCCACTTTGAAAACCTGGTCTTCTTCATGTGTCAAGATGATGGTAACAGTGCAGACTAGTAATAATAATAGCTAACATTCGCTGAGTGTTTACTTTTGTCATGCTATTCACTTTCCACTCAATCCTTCCAACAAAACCCTATTAAGTAAATTCTGTTATTTGTTCCCTTTTTTTCTGATTAGGAAACTGAGGACAATTTGTCCCATGGCCCAGGAGTAGTAAGTGATTCAGCCTCCCTCCCCTGCATTCAGCGCCATTCTGCTTCACAGTGCCGCGAGAGATTCACACTAAATGCTCAGTTCTATTCTGTGCATGCAGTAGGCATTCAATATGTGCTTATTGAGCACTGATGATACAATTCCTTTAAATTAGTCTGGAACAATGCAAAAAGAAGAGTTCAAGATCTGACGATGGGACAGCGAAATTGGGCCATGGCAACCACATTAAATCTGAAGCAGCTAATCCACAATTGGGAGCAAGCTTCAAAGCAGGATTATTTCTATCCATGGACTTTTGTTCTGGATGAAATTAGAAAGCCAGTCAAGGAAGAAAATTGAGAGAGGACACAGGGCCAAAGGAGACCCTTTATTAAAAACTGTTCCCATCCGCTCCACCTCCTTAACCGTCAAGCCTGAGGAAATTGGCCGGCCAGAGACGCCTTGAAGATTACTTCAAAGCTCATTGCTCTTTTTCAAATAGTTTTCAATTTGTTGTCTTGAGGAGAAGATTTAAATTGATGTATCTTTTTTAATTGATGTAAAATTTTTTAATTGATGTATCTTTTTTGATGTATCTTTGTTTCAAGGATTATTACAAGCTGGTTAGCTCTTTACCATCAATGACCACACTTATTTCTAAAACTTGCCTAATCTTATAACAAGTGACTGCTATGTCTGACATACGATTTTACTTGTTGAGATGTGAATTTACTTAAGGACAACTTTTATTTTTTTTTTTTTTTTTATAAATTTTATTGTTATATTCCCCATACAATTGCCGCCCCCCATTCTGACCCCAATCCCTCCCCTCCCGCCCCCGCCCCCCTAAAAGTGTCTCTGGTTCATAGTTTTTTGTTGATTTTGATTTTCACTTTCTTATAGTTTTTCATTTTCCTGGTCCATTATTTAAGTTTTCTAGATTCCTGCTATGAGTGAGACCATCCGGTATTTTTCTTTTTCTTTTTGGCTTATTTCACTGAGCATGATCCCTTCCAGCGCCATCCATGTTGCAGCAAATTGCATGTGTTTATCTTTTTTGAATGCTGAGTAATATTCCATGGTATATATGTACCACATCTTCTTGATCCAGTCATCTATTTTTGGGCATTTGGGTTGTTTCCAAAGCTTAGCTATTGTAAACAGTGCTGCTATAAACATAGGGGTGCAGGTGTTCTTTGGAATGGATGTTTCTGTGTCCTTTGGGTAAATACCTAGGAGTGGAATTGCTGGGTCATATGGAAGCTCTATGTTTAGTAGGTCCAGAAATCTCCACACAGCTTTCCACAGTGGTTGGACCAGTTTGCACTCCCACCAACAGTGCAGAAGAGTTCCTTTTTCTCCACACCCTCGCCAACATTTGTTGTTGCTAGTTTTTTTAATATGTGCCATTCTCACTGGTGTAAGATGGTATCTCATGGTAGTTTTGATTTGCATTTCCCTGATGACAAGTGATGTTGAACATTTTTTCATATGCCTGTTGGCCATTTGCATTTCCTCTTCAGAGAAGTTTCTTTTAAGCTCTTCTGCCCATTTTTTGACTGGATTATTTTCTTTGTTGTTGTTGAGTCTCATCAGCTCTTTGCAGATTTTTGTGATCAGAAGGACAACTTTTATTGGACTGTCTAGTACACAGTCTCACTCCTTGAGCACCCACGCTGTGCGTAGTGCAGGGCTCCATAAGGAAAGTCTTCTGTTCTTTTTTTTACCTCTTTTTAACAAATCCATTTCAAAGATCGTTTTGCACCTCAGGGATTGGAGGCTGGCAGGTCAGGGTTGGGGAGATAAGAAAATTAAGAGATTATGTTAGGAGACTAATATTAGAGGACTGGAATTTAGCTAGAGGTGGGGTAAGATTGAACCCCCTCATGGTCTAAAGTGCACCCTGAAATACTGGCTACCTTATAGCCCAAGAGAAGAGCCTGTATGAAGTTTAACATCCAGTGTAGAATCCAAAGTTTTTTCATGCTTGGTACTCAGAACACCCTGCTCTAAAGCATAGGGTGAACAACTTTGCACTGCCTGCCCTCCTGCTGCCTACCAAGTAGATCTTGGTATAAAATAACCTGCCCCTGTCAGATGAGTACAGGGCTCGTTCCTAATTCCTGGTTCAAGCACTTGCAGTCTGTAGAATCTCTATCACTCCATTTTCATTTCCTCCTCCTTCTCCTCAGAATTTCCCAAGGAACTAAGTCATAGGAGGCCTGAGACATACAATTCTTATCACTCTGTGGTGTTAACAGTATCAGTTGTGCTCTCTGCTTTCTGTGAACCCCGCAAAAGCAAGGTCTGTGGCTGTGTTTATCCTGTTATGTGCATCCGGAATTGAAAAATTGAAATGTAGCTATCTTGTGAGTGTGCGTTGTTATCTATCTGTTGCTTTGCTTTAGCCGGTCAGCATATTTGCTT